GTGTGTGTGGTGTGTTTGTGTGTGTTTGTGTGTGAGGTGTGTGTGTGTGTGTGTGTGGTGTGTGTGTGTGAGGTGTGTGTGTGTGTGAGGTGTGTGTGTGTGTGTGTGTGTGTGTGTGTGTGTGTGTGTGTGTGTGTGTGTGTGTGTGTGTGTGTGTGTGTGTGTGTGTGTGTGTGTGTGTGTGTGTGTGTGTGTGTGTGTGTGTGTGTGTGTGTGTGTGTGTGTGTGTGTGTGTGTTTGTGCTTGTGCTTGTGTTTGTGTGTGTGTTTGTGTTTGTGGTTGTGTTTGTGTTTGTGTGTGTGTGTTTGTGAAAGTGTCTGTGAAAGTGTTTGTGTTTGTGCTTGTGTTTGTGTTTGTGCTTGTGTTTGTGGTTGTGTTTGTGTTTGTGTAAGTGTTTGTGAAAGTGTTTGTGTTTGTGTTTGTGTTTGTGTTTGTGTTTGTGAAAGTGTTTGTGAAAGTGCTTGTGTTTGTGTTTGTGTTTGTGTTTGTGCTTGTGCTTGTGCTTGTGCTTGTGCTTGTGCTTGTGCTTGTGTTTGTGTGTGTTTGTGTGTGTGTGTTTGTGCTTGTGTTTGTGTTTGTGATTGTTTTTGTGTGTTTGTGTTTGTGTTTGTGTTTGTGCTTGTGTTGGTGTTGGTGTTGGTGTTGGTGTTGGTGTTGGTGTTCGTGTTCGTGTTGGTGTTCGTGTTCGTGTTCGTGTTCGTGTTCGCGTTGGTGTTGGTGTTGGTGTTGGTGTTGGTGTTTGTGTTTGTGTTTGCGTTTGTGTTTGCGTTTGCGTTTACGTTTGCGCTTGCGTTTAAGCTGCGTTTGCGTTTGGGTTTGCGTTTGCGTTTGCGTGTGGTTGTGTTTGTGTTTCTTGTGTGTTTGTGTTTGTGTTTGTGTTTGTGCTTGTGTTTGTGACTGTGAAAGTGTTTGTGAAAGTGTTTGTGTTTGCGTTTGTGTTTGTGTTTCTGTTTGTTTTTGTGCTTCTGTTTGTGTTTGTGTTTGTGTGTGTGCTTGTGTGTGTCTTTGTGTTTCATTTGTCGCTTGTGTTTGTGTTTGTGTTTCTGTTTGTTTTTGTGTTTCTGTTTGTGTTTGTGTTTGTGTGTGTGTGTGTCTTTGTGTTTGATTTGTCGCTTGTGTTTGTGTTTGTGACTGTGCTTTTTTTGTGTGTGTGTGTTCTTGTCTGTTTGTGTGTGTGTGTCTTTGTGTTTGCAAAATTTGTGTGTGTGTGTGTGTTTGTGTGCGTGTGTTTGTGTGTGTGTGTGTGTTTGTGTGTGTGTGTTTGTGTGTGTGTGTGTTTCTGCGTTTGTGCTTGTTTTGTTTTGTGTTTAAGTTTGTGTTTTGTGTTTGTGGTTGTGCTTGTGTTTGTGTTTGTGCTTGTGGTTGTGGCTGTGTTTGTGTTAGTGTCTGTGGTTTTGTGTTTGTGTTTGTGCTTGCGGTTGTGGTTGTGTTTGTGTTCGTGTTTGTGTGTCTGTGTGTTTGTTGTGTGTACTTTTCGTGTTTTTGTCTGTGTGTTTTATGTTTGTGTGTGTTTGTTTGTGCACGTGTTCGTGTGTGTGTGGGTGTGTGAGTATGTGTGTGTGTGTGTGTGCACCTATACCTATACATGTGTACATGTGTGCGTGTGCGTGCGTGTGTGTGCGCGTGGGTGCGCGTGCGTTTGCGCGGCGTGCATGCGCGGGCGTCCGTGCGCGGGCGTGCGGGCGTGCGGGCGTGCATGTGTGCGTGCGCGTGTTCTCGTGCGTGCGTGCGCGTGTGCGTGATGCGTGTGTGTGTGTGTGTGCGCGCGCGCATGCGCGTGCATGTGCCTGCGCAGGTGCGTGTGCGTGCGCGTGCACGTGTGGGTGTGGGAGTCGGTGTGTGGGTATTGGTGTGTGTGTGTGTGTCGGACCGTGTGTCTGTGTGTCCGTGTCTGTCTGTCTCTGTTCCTGTGTCGCTGTCTCTGTCTCTGTCTTGGCTTGGTTTGTCTGTTTTTTTGGGTTTGTTTGTTTGTTTGTTTGTTGTGGCTGGCTTATGTTTGGTCTTGTCTTGTCCTGTCCTGTCCAGTCCAGTCTTGTCTTGAGTGACTGGCCTCGTGTGTCACTGTCTGTCTGTCTGCCTGCCTGTATCTCTGTCTCAGTCTCTGTTTCTGTCTCTGTCTCTGTCTCTCTCTCTCTCTCTCTCTTTGTCTCTGTCTCCGTCTCCGTCTCTGTCTCTGTCTCTGTCTCTGTCTCTGTCTCTCTGGCTCTGTCTGGCTCTGTCTGTCTGTCTGTTTGTATGTTGGTTGTTATTTTTGCTTGCGCGTGTTGCCTGCTGCCTGCCTGCTGGTCTGTCTGTTGTCTTGCTTGTTAGATTGTTTATCTGCTTGCTTGTTTGCAATCTTGTTTGATTGATGGTATGCCCATCAATACCAATCACCGGAGCACGTTTTTCAATGTTGTTGCGATGGGAACCATTCCCCATCTTTCGCTTAAACTAAAGGGCAGCAGTGAGGGGCAAGATGGGCAAAACATGTGTGTGTGTGTGTGTGTGGGTCTGTGCAAGTGTCTGTTCGCGTGTCTGGGTGTCTGGGTGTGTGTGTGTGTGTGTGTGTCTGTATGTGTGTTTGCGTGCTTGTGTTTGTGTGTGTTTTGTCTCTTGCATGCACGTGCACCAAGAATTCGTGAGATGCGCATGTACCTCTTGCGCAATGCCCCACTTACTTGTAGTGACCCCCCTTCGCATGCCAAAAAAAGAGCCTGCCTGCCCAATGACTCAAAAACCGTGCCATATCTGAACCCCAAAGCCGGCCAAAGCCGGCCGAAGCCGGCCGAAGCCGCCCGCTCTTCAGCCCCCAAGCCCCCCGCTCCTCTTCTTTTGAATTCCGTCCAAGCATTTCAAAAAGGCCCCCGCCATAGAACTCGTCCTGATTGCCGAAGGGCACACGGATGGCTATGGCATACTGCAGCAGCCCCGTGGGGAGAGGGCCCTTCGGCTTCAGAGCGGAGATCTGCCACTCAGACGCCTGGCAAGCGCAAGGTCAGTGAGATCAAGAAGCTATCTGCCACTTGGAACAAACAGAAGCGACGTGGCCTCTCCCCGCCCTTTGGGTAATATGTTTGCGGGCTGGCTCGGCCAGCCTTGGGGAGCTTGTAGAAGGTCAAGCGAGCGAGCTGGATGAGTTTCGCGACCTTCCACACCAGGTTCTCAGGCGGACTGAAGAAGTAGAGCCAAACGATGATAGTTCCTTGCGGCTGAACAAACTTCGCTCAGAGCCATCGACCTTCCAAGTGAGAAATTCTTTTCAGCGGCGGTAGACAAAGGGACCACCATTCTACAGCCCAGACTTTTGAGACTCCCAGACAGCCACTTGCAAGCTGTGCTACTTAAGCCTGAGGAGCCTGCAAGCCAGCCAAACAGGACCACGAGCACGGTCAGCACCGCGACCAGCACGGGGTAGATGGCCAGCAGCAAGGCAAAGATCACCAGGCCCAGCAAGGAGTAGCAAAAGAAGCTGCAGCATCCGCATGAAAAGGCGTACTTCCACTTGCAGCACTTGTCGCTCTCAATGTAGAGCGGCTCCGGAGGCTGCACCACCGGCCAGCTGGGTGCTATGGCGCTGTCGCCGGACGGCAGCAAAGGCGCCGCCTCCATGCTGCACGCTGCACGCCGGGCCCGACGGTTCCTTCGAGCCACATGGCAACATGGCAACATGGCAACATGGCCATGGGCTTTTCAAAATCCAAATCGGTTAGCCCCCAGTGAACATCCCAATCCCCGCTAAGATAGGTTCTAAAATAGGTGGTGAATTCACCTACCCCAAAATGGGATCCCATTCGTTTTGACCCACAGCCACATGGCACGGAGGGCTCTGCACAAGTTGGCCAAGAGTGACAAGCGGAGCTGTGCTCCGAGATTGGCATTGAGAGCTGGAATTGTCGAATAGCTCGAAGCCACTGTTGTGAAGGAACCCGGAAATTGCCGCTGGCCTTTTGAGCGCTGCCCGCTGTACAGGAGTCGCAGTACCTCCGGGTACAGATCTGCATGAAGCCGTCTGTTCTCGGATGTTCTCGGTTTGACTTGACGGCACCTCCGCCCAGGTTGAACTTGGGCAAGGTCGACTCATACTCGATGAGCCCGCGCTTCCTCGCATGGAGCCGATCGGACAGCCAGCGAGGGCGATTGTCTCAACTGAAAGCGATTCGCCCAACGTACGATGCGTCCTGATGTCCGGCGAGGTCGGCAGCGGCAAGTTCCTGCAGAGCCCAAGCTCCACTCTCGGCACGCACCAGGGACGGATGTCCGAAACTCGGAACGCACCAGGCCTAGAGATCTTCTCATTCTCACTCTGCAGGGCCTGGCTTGCTTTTTTGACCGTGATTTGGCTGTGAGCTCTGAGAACGCCTGAAACCCACCCCAAACCAACCCCAAGAAACCAGCCCAAAACCAAAGGCCAAGAAACATCACAACACGGGGCGTGCCGCCAAAATCCGCAGGTCTGGGACGGCCCGGCCTTTTTGATGTCCGCTGCACTCGACGCATCCTGGCTTCGAACACGTCAACGGCAACATGCAAAACGAAGCTCAAAGGCAAGGATCCAACGACCGAAGGCTTAAGAAACTCACGCGGTCCAGAAACAGAAGCTCCCTCCAAGAAAAGACCTCCCGCTCCTTCGGCGGCGTTGGAGCACGTGAGGAGTGCGAAGACTGTGGTCGGAAGGTGACCTTGGGTCGAGTGCCGCGGTTCCCCACAAGTAAAGATGCAACGAGCCAAAGTACCGAAAAAACACGTAGAGAATTGGCCCAAGTCAAGTGCACCACACCGCAGCTTCTTGGGCCTAGCCAGTCCCATTCCTCAAAGCTTAGGCCCGCGCCCTGTTCATCGTCCTTAGGCGCATCCATAGGAAGAGTCGCCGTCATAGGTGTCCTTCTAGAGAAATAGATGGCCCTGGTTATGTTGAAACAAAGCCAATCTAAACCAGTGGCACCCATCTATTTATTTTCGCAAACTCACCTAAAAAGGACACCGGATCCGGTCGCCGTGCTCCGGCTCACTCGCCTTCCGCCCTTCTGCCCTTCCGGCCTTCAGCCCTTCAGCCCAGGGGCGAGTCCGGCGACGGGGTGGGCGGGCTGGGGGAGGAGGACAGCATGGCCTTCGGCACGTACTCGTCCTGCGCTTCGAGAAAAGCCGCACCCCGGACGTGTCACATGTGGCTGTGATTGTCAGAAGAAAAATAGAAAAGTAACCCCAACATGGGTTGCCCTGGTAGACGGAAACATGGACTAAAACCTGCAGACGGTTTTTCTGGTGGCTTAATTTTGACACATACCCATGTGTAATTCTAAACAAAGTCACACCCATGTGCTTTGGGCTTGCTTTGATATGTTTTGGCTTCAAACATTGGTCTTCGGCATGTTTTTTGGGGCTTGCGCATGTGCGCAAGGAAGAAGATGTGCTTCACTGAGTCACTTGCTCAAACTCGACATGGAAAAAGCGGCCATCGCGAGAGCTGGAACTGAGCGGTGTGGAAACGTTGCGGTGTCGCCTCTTCGTCTGCCTCCTCGAAGTCTTCATCGTACTCAACGTCGTCGACATCCTGGCAGAGGTCAGCCCTCTTCGAATCGGAGTCAAGATTGAGTGGATGGAGCACGGCCCAAGCGGAAAACTGAGCAAAGCGGCATAGCGAAAATGCCTGTATGCCTGAGTGCTGCGCAATTTTGAATCTGATGCTGTCATGCATTAGAGCCACTCAGCAGCCTACACTCCTTGCACGCAGAACAGCGGATTCCGCTTGGTGGCAAATTACTGAGAGGCAGTGCAGTGTGAGACCTTCTGGACTTGCGGCCGATTGCTCCTTGACAATATGCTTACGAATGCAACCCCATGCTAGCGAGTGGATTTCTGGGCAAGCTCTGCACCTTCCCAACTGAAAAGTCCGAGCCCTCGAATGCGACATTCGCCCTGGGAGCTGGCGCAAGATTCACCTGACCTGATGAGCCAGACGCTGCCAGTGATTTGACTGGCTCCACAGTCCACCCTGCCCTCTGCCCTCCACTGCCCTCCACTGCGATGAAACTGTGGCAGTGAACCCGTGAACCCTGGAGCGTGTCGAGCTACAGGGCATCCCAGCGCTTTTGGGGCGCTGGGGCGCCATCATGCAAAGCTCAAAGGGACCTTTAGCCCACCTCGAGCTGACCTCGAGCCTCAGAAGTCGAAGTCGTCACCTTGATGGCGGCCAGATCCTCCTATGTCCTGCAACGAGACACTACGACTAAAGATCTGAGACATATATTATGTATGTATATATATATATATATATGTATATATATAATGTCATACATATGTGTATTTATATAATATATGTGCGTATTGGGTGTGGCTCAAATTTAACCAACTGGGGTTACGCGGGTGTTGGTCTTTCTTTCTATTTACCAGGGCTCCATTTTGGACCCCATACAGCCGTCATGAAACATCTCGAGATCAGAATCCAAGGGGCATCGTCCGACAGCTCTTCGTCATCAGACTCGTTGAGGATGTCGTCATCGGACCTCCACATGCGGGAACGGGGCCCAGGAGCACCCAACTCACGTGTCCAAAAGGATCGAGTTTCAGCAAGCGGCACGCTGTTGCCACCGCCGATGAGGACAGAGCCGTCAGGTGGAGACACCGCGCCTCGGACTCGTCACGGGAGCACAGGAAAAGAACCACATGTTGGGATCTGAACTCCTGATTTGATCCACGCATGCCAAGCAAAAGAACCGAAGCAAGATCGCACAGGGAGAAAGAGAGATGGCGAATGGATCTGGACTGATTTGATCCACGAGTGCCCAAGCGGATCGAATTTTGTGCCGGTTCGATTCACCAGACTGCAGACAGGTGGCGCTCACGCTCGAGGCCTACGGCCAGTTGGCCCTGGCTATCCTCCGAGCCTCAGCACTGCTACGAGTTGGTGGCTTCGAGAGCATCTGAGAGCAGAGAAAAGAAGGCCACACATCTCTATGTTTCATTGCGTCTCATTCCGTCTCATTCCCACCCCCACCCTCTCTCTCTCTCTGTCTCTCTCTCTCTCTCTCTCTCTTACCCTCTCTCTCCCTATCTCTTTTCTACAATCCTTCTTCATTTTTCGGTGGGTGCCACCTTTCACCCCGAGCTCCCCGCCACCCACGCTGATGGGCGGATCGCTGTCGCTGGCGGAGCCCTCCGAGGACTCCTCCTCGCCGGCTTCCATGGAGCCGTCGACGCCCACGGCGGAGGGGGGCATCCACCTCAGCCCCGGTCGCGCCCGCGCCCCGTCGCAGCCCAGCCGCCGCTTTCTTCGGCATTTTGTTGGGTCGGGTTCCGGAGGCCTTCGGTATTTCTTCGGGGCGGAAGGCGGCAGGCTTCGGGGGCTTTTTGTCGGGCTGAAGCAGTTTTTCCGGCTTCGAGTTCCGGGCTCCCTTCTGGCCGACTTCTGGCCCTGGCCTCTTCTGGCCGTGGATCTTCTTGGGCTTCCTGGGCTTGCCCTTGTCGTCCTGTCCGCAACTCGCCCCATCGACTCGGAGACTCGGAGACTCGGACTCTCTCGACGCAGGTTTGGTCCTCCTCACCGCGGAGGAGTCGCCACTCCTCGTCCCGAAGTCGCTTCTGCATGCCTCAGCTGATAGGGCCGTGGTTGTTAAAAATCGGGCAACCCCCAAAATGGAACCCTGGGAAGTGGAAACAAGGACTGAAACCTGCGGTCCCCTGGCTCTTAAATTTTGAGCCACACCCATATGAGAATACCGCCACAAACGAGCAGGGCACTTGACCGACCCGAACCACGATCAGGCCAGCGGCGCTTCAGGGCCCGGTCGTTCTCCTCCATTCGCTCCTGCTCCTCTTTGTTAAGCAGGTCAACCTCCTGAAGTGGCCGGAGAATTCGTCTAGGAATCAACGACTGAGCACACTCGTCTTCATTTACTTGGCTGAAGCTTCGGCAGCTTCGAGTCTTAACTTTCATGCCAGGCGACATGCTCCAAATAGTCCAAGTTCCGGAACCGCCCCACGTACCTGGAACGAACGCTATTTCCCAAGCCTTTGCAGCCGAGCATGCCCTTACGCCAGCTTGCAGCTGGGCAACTGTTCGTAGTAGCGCTCGAGCTCCTGCTCCAGCTGCTCATACCTTCGCTGGCACCACTCCACCCCGGGCCGACTGCCAGTCGTCTATTGACGTACGTCGCCAAGGCGCTCGTCCATGAAGGCGGGCCGCACACTGGCGAGGCTGCCCAGGCGCTTGCGGCATCTCTCCAGCTCCTCTGAAGCACGAAGGTGACACAAAAATCGGCCAGATGCACCGAGATTCCACGAAATAGTCGTGGGATCGCTTCATATTGCTTCCTTCTGACCGCTTCTCGAAATCTGCCGAAAGCGGCTCCTGCTTCTTCTTGCGGATCTTCTGCTCGAGGCCTCAGCCAAACTCACAACCTGCCACCTCGACGCATGGCCAACAGAGACGCCTTGAGCAAAGCTGTTCTCCTACCTCTCGGTTCACAGCTGCAGTTGACAGAGCAGCTACGAAACTGGCCAGAGATAACCAGACGCTACTTTGCGAAGGGTCTTGATAAATCGACATCGACACCTTCCAACAAAAATGCTCAAGGGGAACCTTCATAGCATGTGTTGAGCTAGACCGACATTGGATATGTAGCCTCTTGCATACAACATTCGGCAGGCAGGCGCTGCGAGCACTCGTCCCCTAGGGCTACCTCAGCTGAAGGGCTCTTCTCATCGCGCTGAAGCTCCTCCGACATCGTCTTCAGCTGCTCCAAGTTCTGGCTGTGGCTGCCCAGCAGCTGCGACACCTCGGCGCGAGAAGCGCTAACCCAAGGCAGGCGAACCCGGAAGCTCGGCAAAGAATGGCCTCACCTGGAAGCGCCCAGACCCGAAAGCGCCAAGGCGCCGCACGCTCCACCATTTCACTCTCGCTGTTGCTACCTCGGAACCAAAGGTCGCGAGCCGCTGTGTCAGCTGCGAGAAACGAGAAGCGCAGTCATGACCGGCATAACAAAATACAAGGGGTTGGACAAAGATACAAACGCCAATTCACAAATTCAGCTGCTGAGTGACAGCTTCACAGGCAGAATCTGACCTGACCTCTGCTGACCTGCCTGTATGCCAGTGACCTGCGCCCTGCGCATGCCCCGCCTAGATTCCGGGACATGCCATCCAGGAAATTGAGCGCCTTTTCTCGGTCCTGCCGCACGTCCTGCTCCTGCCGACTTGACCAAGATGACGGCCCAAACTGGCCAAACGCAATCCAAGAGATTCCGTTGGGAAAGGGCCCCAAACTCACCAAAGGCGTCAAGTGACTCTCAAGCCAGGACAAGTGGGCTTCTCATGTTGTGCGGAGAAAAAAAAATGGGACAAGTGGCACAACCTATTCTTGTGTGGACAAGTGGCCGAATTTTCCCTTTGTTTCAGCTCAATCAGCTCCTTCTGCAGCAGCTCGAAGAGCGTGGCGCCGCTCTCCACGATCTGGGAGCACAAGGAGCGGGTGCTCTTCAGGTCCGCCAGCCTCAAATCGGGTCCGGTAGGGGTCCCGGTGCAGAGAAGGATTTCCTCCGTGCCTGCACGAATCGGGGATGAGGAGTGCGGCTTGAAGATCTGTAACTCTACCTCCCTCTCTCTCGCTCTCTCTCGCTCTCTCTCTCTCTCTCTCTCTCTCCCGCTCCCTTCTTCATGTTCGGGATTTCCGGGGAGCCATCCGATTTCGCAGCTCCAGCCAACAAAAAAACAGCGCTTTCCCCCCCCCCCCCCCCGTCTCCCCCTCGCTTCGGTCCCCAGGTCCCCCGGCTTAGAGTTCAGCGCGAAGTCCTCGCCCCGGGGCTCCGAGCTGTCGCCCACGCTCTTCTGGGCCTCGTAGAGCACCTGGGCCAAGCGCAGCAGCTCCTTCACCGCGTAGCCGTCCGCGCCGTAGAGCTTCTTGGTGTTCAGCTTCAGCCCCGTCTTCAACACCACCTTCCTGAAATGACATGCAAAAAGACCCGCCAAAAAAGAAAGGCCCCAGCAGGTCTCACGCCTCGGATTTTCTCCCTTTTCTCCTCTTTTTTTTGGGGGGAGAATTGGCCTCATTCAGAACGGTTGACCAGCATGTGATGCCTGCCACAAGGCCGGGTGTGTCTCGCCTGCCAATTTCTTGGGCGCCTCTCTCAAATCGCCAGGTCGCTCCACCACGGATTTGATGAAGTGCACGCGATGCGCCTCCGTGCCTGAAGCCCAAATCACCCCGTCTGGGATGCCGTTTCAAAGCGCCTCCGGTCCGGGGGGGAGCCCGAGCAAAAGCCGAGGCGATCTCAGGCAGCTTGGTTTGACTCGGCTTGGTTTTGAGCAGGATGTTCGTCTTCAGGTTGATGAGCTTTCTGCGATCCGTCCCAAAGAGACGATCGCGCATGCTTCTCCGCCCGAAAACACCCCCGACTTTGAATGCGCGGGTTTCCCTGGAATTTCCTCTGAGTGTAAAAGACGCAAACTGAGCTTTGACCACGGGTGAAACAGGTGCTGTAAAGTGGTGGTCGTCAGAGGTTTCTGTTCCTTCTGATCGATTTTCAGTGGTTTCAGCTGTTGCCTACGCAGTCTTCGCGTAGTCAGGTAGTCTTTCCGTAGACTTGTGGTCTTACCACAAGTTTCCCTTGGTCTTTTTTACAGTTGTCCAGTCTTCGTCACTTGTTGATGTCTGCCTCCTTATGCCCAAACATGCTGCTCAGCAGTTAAGTAATTTAGGGCCGATCTAGGCGAAACGGCCCAGCAGGCGCTAAGAGATCGGATCGAGAGCTTCTTGCTGACCCCGATGTTTCGAATGGACATCCCCACGTCTGCCGCCAAATGGCTGTGGCTCAAAAAACCGGTACCAAAATAAGTTGCCCTGGTAAGTGGAAACAAAGGCCAAAACCTGCGGTTTGCCCCTCCTGCTTAATTTTTGAGCCACACCCAAACTGCTGCTGAATGCTCCGTCCGTTCTGCTCCCGGAGCCGAGGCGCTAATGTCATCAGGGATAGCGCAGCCGGGCTCGAAGCGGTGCAGAAGCCAGTCCAAGATGTCGGCCACAAGCTCGAAATTGGGCGTCCCTGAGGCCGGACTTCTGCAAAAAAGTGCAAAATATCACAAACCGGGCAAGGCAGTGCAAACATGGCAAGTCGGGCAAAGCGCAAACCGCTTGGTTTGCGGTTGAAGGCGTATCTAGGACTTGCCCCCAAGCCCCTAGGCTCTGAATGTAGGCGAGGCTCTGAAGTTGTCCTGACGCGGCTCAAGGGCAAAGGGAGGGGGGGCAGCTCAAAGGGCAAAGTGCAAGGCCCACAGCACCCACCCACCAACCCACTCCACGTCTCTGCGCCAAGCATCCATGGACACCAGCCGGTGGTAGCCCAGTGACCGCATCATCTCACAGAAGTTCCGTAGCTCTCTGAAGGACATCGCACCGCCTCAGCTGGGCACCGGCGACCGGCGAGTGGCTCAGCGAGTGGCTGGGACTCTCAAAAGCCGACTTCCCCACACCCGGCATCGAACGCCACATGGCAGCGGGTCAAAAATAGGTGCCCAAAGAGGAACCTTGGCAAGTGGAACCATGGACTCAAACCTGCGGTCCAATTCCTGGTGGTTTAATTTTGACCCATACCAGCAGTCTCGGCCCAGGCACGGGCCCAGGGTGAGTGCGGGGTGCCTATTGCACGGCCCGTCTGAGCCAAGCTGAGCGAAGATCAGACCCCGCAGTCCATATGCAAGGGTGGCTGTGACGGCCGTAATTGATGGAACGTGCGAAACACTAAGATGTGTGCGCTCTGGAGGATGAGGATGGGCAAAAAAGGCAGCAAGATATTCAGGGCAAGTCGACTCAAGCCTGAAATTGCAGCAAGATGTTCGTGGCCGACTAAAGCCGCTATGCATTGTGGCTTGCGCAATAAGGTATTGCGTTGGGCTCTCTGCAGACTTCTTCATGATGTTTCGTGATGGGGGTGCTCGACTTGTTCTTTGTGCCGAACGAGGGCGTGATCAGCACGGCAACAATGAAATTATCAATAAACTACTGCAGCTAGCTAGGTAAGCAAATGGAGACAGTGCAAGTATCAGAATTAAAGCATTCAAAAAGTGGCCATGGGTCAAAATCCGGTGCCCCCAGTGAGCATCCCAATCCCCACTAAAATGGGTGGTGCACCTACCACAACATGGTACCATTGGTTTTGACCCACGGCCAAGTCCTTTCCTGCACCTTCCTTTCCCCCCCCCCTGCCCTCGGCCGCAGCCCAACCTCCGGCGGCTTGCTTCGTGGTGCCACGGGTGCGTGCACCTCGATCTCCTGGACCGAGCATCAGGCTCTCGAACCAAACATCCAAGCTTGAGCCCCCACGAAAAAAAAGCCATGGTCAAACATCCGTCTTGCTCTCCACAAAGCGTTCCTGCACAAACCTTTACGTCCGGGGCTCTCTCGGTTTCACTCCGACAAGTCTGCCCTCCCCCGAAATGGTTCGTACAAGCACCGGCATGCTGGCACTTTAGTGCCTCACATTGCCCTACATTTCACATACACGGCAAAGCCTGAGCTGGCTGTGTCTGTGACTCTGCGTCATCCTGCGCCTCACTTGGCCATCATCTTCACAAACTCCTCGTAATTCATCTGACCGTCACCGTCCACATCTGCCTCCCGGATCATCTCATACCTCCTCGTCTGTCAGCTGCTTCACCAAGGTTGGTCATGACGCAGCTCTGCGGCACGGATGAAGCCGTTGCCATCACAGTCAAAGACCTTGAAGGCTTCACTCAGCTCCTCTTCCGTGTCAGTCTCATCTTGCGCGCCATCAGGGGCAAGACTTCCGGGAAGTCGATGCCGTTTCCATCCGCATCCACCTCGATCATGTCTTGCAGCTCCGCCTCCGCGCCTCCGTGGGGTTCTGCCCCGGAGAAAGCGCATCACGGTGCCCAACTTCTTGGGAAGGCCTCTTTGAGCTCCCTTCGGTCAGATCAGCCATGGCAAAGGACCGAGGGCCGGAGATCCAAAGAGCCCAGCTGCACTGAAAGATGCCCGAGTGGCACGCAGCGCAATCGATTGTCAGTTGCCGGGAGATGATTTGTCATGATGGCCTCTCATGATCAAGAAACCTGGCCCCAGTCGTCGAGATCATGCAGCATGTAACTTATTTCCCTCGGCAGAAGCCTTACTAGCCGGTCCAAAATTGTTGTTTTGATGCCAACACAAACGTATGCCTCTGCCAAGGGCACGGTCCTCGTCTTCCACGTGGGGCGCTTCGGCCTCAAAAGCCCGCAGACGCTCGCAGCAATTCCCGGAACACCTCTGGGCACCCGGCCGGGCGCGGCTGCCTCACCTTGTGGTTGGCCGCCGGCGCTGGCACCGGCGCCGGTGCCGGGGGTGCTGCCTCAAAACGAGGAGCGCACGCCACGAGCCTATGCCTTGCACGGCCTGGGGAGGGGCTTCAGCTGGTGCCTGGAGCTGCAGATCGTACATCCCTTCCCCACATTTGCCACATGCAGTTCTGCCTCTTTGTGGGGCCTTCGCTGCTTCGGCCTGGCACAGAATCCGTCAGTTTGGGCCGGGATCCTGGGGTCGGGAACCTCGCCTATCGGCTTCCTGCGGCGCGCGCGGTGCCTAGCAGGGTGTCCGGCAAAACGCCCAGATCGAAAGAGCTGCCGTGGTCCGCAGACGCAGCTTTCCGTGATGGCAGCGGTTGTCCAATTTCTGATTGAAGGTCCCTGACAATCCCTGCCAAAGTTCTAGAAAACCTGAACGAAAATAAACCAAAGCTCTTCAGAGTTTTAAAACTTTAACAACAACTGACGCACCTCTGTCGCCAACAGCACACACTTCTCATCTTTCCGATGATTTATTATCTCCCTCTTTCTCTCCCGCCTGCACGTCCCGCTTCGGCTCCCGGGTGTCCCGGGACTCCTTCCTTTCCCTCCGCTCCTTTCGCTCCTCCCTCTCCTTGGGCTCCTTGGGCTCCTTGGGCTCCTTCGGCTCCTTGGGCTCCTTGGGCTCCTTCCGCTCCCGGTCCCGGTCCCGGTGCTTCCGCTCCGGCCGCTCCGGCCGCTCGGCGGGCCGCTCGGCGGGCCGCTCGGCGGGCGCCGGCGGGCGCGGCTCCCGCGGCTCCCGCGGCTCCCGCGGCTCCCGCGGCTCCCGCGGCTCCTTGGCCTCAGAGACTGCGACATGCCGAGGGCCCAACCCAAGTGCACAGGTGCGATGGCCAGAGCGGGCCGCGAACGAAGTTCCTTTTGCCGCGAAAATGCATCCACAAACATCGCTCACGGCCTTTTCGAAGCAGCATCAGCGACCCGAAAAAGCTCCTCGCCCACTTCGCAACTCCTTTTGCTGATGCTGACTCAGCGCACTACACACGCCGCCTGGCAAAGAGTGCTTAGACGCCATGGAATGCTGAGGTTTCAGTAACATCCGCCTCACTCTGCTGGCTCTCCAGTGTAGTTGTTCGGCTTGGCGTAACCGATCTCCTGGCAAGGTACCCTTGAGCTGAGCCGCAAGGTAATACCGTATTACCCGTCTGGCCTCGTAGATTGCGTTCATGTTCTCATGGGTCACTGAGGTGTAGAGCGGATCCTCCCAGGGCACATCCCTGCAAGAGTTCGTTTCCGCCCCCCACTCCCCCACATTGCTCGCACTCGCACTAGGAGAGGGGGGGGAGTTCTCCTGCATGGTGTAGCGCGGGATGCTCAGGATCCAGAACATGGCACGCTTGTGATGCTGCTTGCGGTTGGGCCGGTATCCCAGAGGATGCTTGTCAATCCAGTCCGGCTCGTTGTCAATGAACGAGGCCCTTGGCATGCAACGGCCAAAGCCTTACACGCAACAAGAGCAACAAGAGAAGAGGGGGGCCCTAAAGGATGCAAGGATGCCAACACCACGCAATACCAGGTGCTTCAACATGTCTGGCAATGGAACGCCAAGGAACCAGGTATTCAACATGGCCCAAGCAAGAGTGCCGCACACTTTGTGCTGAGCTTGCTGCCGGTAGCAAGCGGAAGTGTTGCCTCAGAGCTAAGCACCATGCAGTCCGACCCCGAAGTGGGGTCGACATCGCTTTGAGAGTCAGCCGCTTGCATAGGCGATAAGGAAAGCCGTCTCGACTGGAGCATCTCTGGCCCAGCCAAGAATCTGGATACGTGTGGGCATGGATCGTTAAACTAACTGGTCAACTTGGTTTCAATTGGTTTCTGGCATCAGGTCCAGGGATTCGCCTTCTAACCCCGGGATCTGTCGGAAAAGGAACTCGGCCAGTGCGCACGTAACACACGTCCTGCACACTCCACCTGCTGCCCAGAGGCGGAGCAGGTGGTTGTAGAACGGCAGGGAGTAAGTCCACTGCCTGTGCTAGCTGTTCTTGGGGTCGCTCCCATTCTTTCAAAATGTTCAATCATCGCCCTTTTCAAGAACCTCCCGATTATTTTGGGTTTCTGGAGGTTTCTCAGAAAGAAGGATCCCTGGAAAGAATCGGGAAGCTACCCCGAGAAATCGCTCGGCCTGCATCCAGCCTTCTGCCTTCTGTCATGCTCAGTGCCCCGGCCTGTGTCTGTCTGGCAGCGGCTTCCGCAGCTCTTGCTTGCGAAACATGATCTCGGTTCCGCAGAACGGACTCGCGATTCGATTGCACGTCTGGCAAAGCAAAGACAAGGGTCACAACCGAGTTCCGGCTGAGCACGCCACATCGGGGTTGAAGAACACCCTCGGCGACCAAGCCAGCTCGGTTGTCAGTGGCAAGTTCAATTGAGTCATAATCAAAACCCGGTATTGAAATGGTCGACCCAGAACCAGAGAAAGAATGAAGAAAGCGGCCGCAGCTATCTATGGTTGGGATTGTCCCTTACTCACCTTCATCTACCCGAGTTTTGATTGTGGCTCAATTGCAGTGTCTGAGTCCATCGAGCTGTTTCGATGGTCTCCGAGTTCATCCCTGGCCCAAACGAGGTGGCTCTCTGTGCCCCCGCGCCCCCGCGTCAGGATGCCGATGCAGGCGCCGAAGGCGGCGATGCTCACGAATCTCAGCCGAGCGAGCCCCGAGCCCCGAGCGAGCCCCGAGCCGAAGCATCGGCGGCCTTCCCGAAGGCGAGGCTCAAGCCGACTGCGACTGAGGCCAAAGGCGCGTAGTTGTAGGAGGGCCCATCCGCGAACCAGGCGCGCAGGAACTGCTCGTAGAAGTAATCGGCAATGGTGGGATCCTGGGTCCCGCTTCGCACATCGATTCGATGCTCGCAAAGCTTCCTGCGATGCTTGATGCTGCAGAAGGGGGGGGGAGTTAGCTACTCACTTACCCACGGGATGTTAATTAATTAGTAAGTCTTGGGGGTGGGGATAGTCACTTACTTTCTCATATCTTTCTCTCAAAATGGTTTCACAGTGCGAAATGAACCCTGATCTATCCGCGCCGCTTCTCCAGTTCAGGCGCGACGCCTGCTTGCATTTTGCTCATGATTGCTGCTAGAATACTAAAAAATGGTACCTCTATCCAACAACACCCACCATTCATTCAATCAAATGGATCAAAGCTGGGGGGCAGGAACGCCTTCAGAAGCCGGCCGACTGTGTGAAAAATGCTGTGCACTGTTGGAGGGTTGAGACTCCTTGCAGACTCCTTGCAGAGACATGCCGTTTATCCTCCCGGGGGAGGAAAAAAAAAACTGGGCGGCCCGGCGGTCATGTTCTTCAGCATCTGCGTGTATCGCTGGCGCATCGTGAAGTGCGAGAACTTCCCCGGCCTCGAGCGAGTCTCCGGCCGGGCTCCCAGCTCCAAACACCCCGCGCCGCGCCGCGGGGGCCCCCGAAGCCGGGGCCCCGGACGCCGAGTAGGCGCTGAGGTGTGTCGCACGCATCACCCGGGACAGAAGCATGGCTGCCTCGCCGGCCGGCGCACCGCGCAATCGGCAAACATGTGCACTCAGCCGCCTGGCCGCCCCACTCGTCAGGAAGCTGCGGCGCACGTGACAACTGGGAGCACCCGGCTTGAGCCAAAGCATTCCATTCCAAGAAGCCGTCAGCATTGCCAGCGTGCAGAGAAATTAGGCCCCCAAAGCTTTCGGCTCTCAGAGTTTCTGTCGAATTCTGTACAGCTCAATCTCGAGCATTACGGACTCCCTAGCTGATTCTGCCCCCGTGGCTTGACCAGCAGTTGCAAAACAAAAGAAACCCCAGAAGGCAATACCCCGAACCAATAGCAATTGGTAGTTGCACAACTTGCAACCTACAAAGTTGATATTCACAGTCAGGCCCCTCGCGGGCTAGCCCCTGGGAACGACACATGGCCGCTTGCAGAAGCAAAAGCGCCGAAAACCGAGCAGCGCCTAAGCTGGGCAGAGATGTCGAAAATCGCAGCCTCACCCTGGCGTGACTCCTGGCTCAGCACGGCTCGATGTTGGAACCATCGGCTCAAGGTTTCACGCTCAAGCATGCCGTGAGGTGTGATTGGTTTCCTTCCATCTCTGCATCAAATGCCGGGTGTCGTGTTGGCCTGTTTCCCTCCATCTCTCCATCTCTCCATCTCTCCATCTCTCCATCTCTCCATCTCTCCATCTCTCCATCTCTCCATCTCTCCATCTCTCCATCTGGCTGTGGGTCAAAATAGGTAATTACCCCAAGTGGAACCCTAGTATATGGAAACATGGACTAAAACCTGCGGTCCAACTCCTGGTGCTTCAATTTCTTGACCCACACCCTGTCGCTTTTGGTTTCCTTCCGTCTCTCTCTCCATTTCTCCATGTCTCCATCCGTCTCCTCGGGCATCAGGGCCAGCGCCGCCAGCCAGACGGCCCCGAAGCCGGGGAAGCTGAGCGGAGCTGCGCCGGCGTGGCCAGCGGCGCCAAGACGCCAACGCGCGCCGCCGCCTGACACACCGGCGCCGTGCGCTTCGCCGACTCCTCAAGAGCCGAAAGACGCAAGACGGGGGGGGGGGAGGCGGAAAAACGAACATCGGCAAGGGTTCAACTCCTGTCCAAACACTGGTCCAACGGCGTCTTTCGTGCAAAAAACAATAAAAAGAGATCGTCAAGGTTCAACTCTCGTCCAAAAACTTGTCCAACGGCGAAAGGGCACGAATTGAAGCGACAGAAAAGATGGAAGGAGCGATCGCGAAGGTCGAGTTGGATCATAACAAAGGCTCTGGGAAGACTGCAGCAAGCTCCACATAGATGGTGGTGAAGCAAACGTTCAGAAAGATGTGGCCGGCCATGGCGCAGGCAATCAGTCCAGGTCCAGAGAATACCCCGCAGCAGAGCAAGCCGAAGCCGCCCCCTTGCATGAGCCTCCGGCCGAAGACGTCCGCTCCAAGCACCAAGACGTAGGCCAAGATGTCTGCGCCGTTAAAGAAGGCCAAGTTGGTGTAGAGGTCATCGGAGTTTCCGGGGGAGTAGCTCAGGCCGTAGCTCCCCAGACCGCAGGCCAGAAAGCAGGTGGCCAGCTTCAAGGCACTGATCAGCACCTGCGAGATGCCCAGGATGCCGGCGCCGGGCTCAGCGAGCCTGGGGAGCGCAGGGAGCGCAGGCTGCTCTGCGGGTCCTCGAAGCCCAGCGCCAGTGGCAGCGGCGGCAGGCCGCACCACAGGCCACCAGGCGGATCCACGGCGCTGGCGCCACAGCTCCGGGCCATAAGCACCGCCATCGCCGAGTTCACGAAGACCGTGGCCTGGCTATTCCGCGGCACTTCGAGACATAGACGTTCCCCGGGCCGGAGCCCCGTCACGAAGCGCAGGGCGGCCACCCAAACGTCGCCGCCGGTGAGGTAAGGCAGGGTGACGGTGGCCAGAGTGCACACAAAGAGACCCACGCAAGACCCCAGGAATTGCTCCTGAAATCCACTAGAAACAACAAGCGACAGGTTCTGAGGTTCGGAGGTTCTGAGGTTTGAGAGCCAGAAGGGCAACCAGAAGCCTTGAACCTTTGCCACCACCATCTCGAGCGATTCTGCGTGTGGCTCGAAAATGGGGATCCAAACTGGAACCCCGGAAAATAGAACGGTAGACTCAAACCTGCGCAACCACAGCTGTTTCATTTTGAGCCACACCCAATACACATATATATATCCCAGACGCTCCCAACTCATGTTTCGGGCCCTCGGGCCCTCGCGGGCCCTCGCAGGCCCTCGGGCTGGTTGGGGGGGGGGGGGTCTAAGGCTCGTGGCAACATAGCGCAGATTAGAGAAAGCAAATAGATAGTCTAGATACCGGACACTTAATCTGAACTTAGTAATTATCTACTATTTCTTTTACTGGGAAGAGATAAAGACAGATAAAAAGAACAAATAATAAAAGATCAAACTAAAAGATAAGACAACAAATAGAAAATAAGATAACAACACACAGTTAAAACAGCAGAATTTATGTAAATAACTTGCAAAGAGCTTGCCCTTCAGCAGAAGAAACGTTGCAGCCGGGTGAATCAACAAATGAAACTTTCGAGCTGGAATTGTGGAAGTGTCAAGCACTGTTCTCTCGCTACAGAGTTACAAGAGCCCCCGTTACATACCTCCGTACCAAGGTTCGCGCCGCGTCGGGCTTTGCATGCCCCCTAAAAAACGATAGCCATGTATAATCATAACCCGAACAATGGCATCATCCTGGCGCAATACAATGTGGACCTGGTACAAAAAAATGCGCGTCTGAGAACCCACAAGCATAATAAAAATAACGGGGAAGGCCTGGCTTTGCAAAGAAGAGGTTTGGAGGGGCCGCGTTTTCCATTTAGTTTGGGCTGATGGTTCTAGTTTCATTTAACCCGCTTTTCCATCTAGTTTGGGTTGGTGGCTTGGAGGGCCGGTTTTGCATTCGTTTGGGTTGCTGGTTGGAGGGGGCAATTGTTTCATTTAGTTTGGGTTGGTAGTTTGGAGGGGGCCGCTGTTTTCATTTGGTTTGGGTTGCTGGTTTGGAGGGGCCGCTTGTTTCATTTAGTTTTTGGGTTGCTTGTGTGGAGGGGCCGCTTGTTCTATTTACTTTTGCTTGGTGGTTCCAGTTTCACTTAATTTTCGTTGGTGGTTTGGTCGGAGGGGTCCGCTTTTCCATTTGCTGGTTTGGAGAGGCCGTTTTTGACATTATGTTTGGGTTGGTAGTTTGGAGGGGGCTGTTTTTTCCATTTAGTTTGGGTTGCTGGTTTGGAGTTTGGAGGGGCCGTTTGTTTCATTTAGTTTGGGTTGGTAGTTTGGAGGGGCCGCTTTTTTAATTTAGTTTGGGTTGCTGGTTTGGAGGGGCCGCTTGTTTCATTTAGTTTCGTTTGGTTGCGTGGAGGGGCAGTTTTTTCTATTCGGTTTGGGTTGGTAGTTTGGAGGGGCCCGTGTTTTCCATTAGTGTGGGTTGCTGGCTTGGTTGGGTTGGTTATTTTTTCCAATTAGTTTGGGTTGATGGTTCTAGTTTCATTTAATTTGTCTTGGTGGTTTGGAGGGGGCCGCTTTTCCATTTACTGTAGTTTGGGTTGGTGGTTTGGAGGGGCCGGTTTTCTATTATAAGGTTTGGTTGCTGGTTTGGAGGGGCCGCTTGTTTCATTGAGTTTGGGTTGGTTGTTTGGAGGGGCCGCTTGTTTCATTTAGTTTTGGTTGGTTGTTTGGAGGGGCCGCTTGTTTCATTTAGTTTAGGTTGGTGGACAGTTACGCAAGTTGGGTCGCTCAATTCATGCTTCTTTACTTGCGAATTTTGGAAGAAACCAACTAGGTCAACATCCAGGGCCCCTCGAATCTGAGTTCCTGGGCTGGGGAGATTGAAAGACCGACAAAAAGGTCAAAAACCCGGGTTGTGAAATCCTAGTTCCTGATTTGGGGAGACCAACAAAATTCAAAACGCTGAAAATCCCGGGTCCCCTAAAGTGATGTGTCTTTAATTGGGGAGTTCAAAAAATTCAAAATCCCGGGTCCCGAAAGTGATGTTCCGCCGGGTGTTTCTTTACTTGGGGAGTTCAAAATCCCGGGTCCCGAACGTGATGTTTCTTTACTAGGGAAGTTCAAAAAGTTCAAACCCCACAGTGATGTTTCTTTACTTGGGGCATTCAAAAAGTTCAAAATCCTGGGTCCCCAACGTGATGTTTCCGTACTTGGAGAGTTCAAATATTTCAAAAATTCAAAATCCCGGGTCCCAATAATGATGTTTCTTTACACGGGGAGTTCAAACAGTTCAAATGCCGTTTTTTTGCGCAGTTGGAGGGCCTGTCACTGGCCTGCTTGGTTGGGCTCCTGCTTTGCATGAAGTGGGGTTTCCCAGGGAGGGTCCGGGGCCCTCCCTCCTGAAAGGACCCGCCTGCTTGTCGGATACGGGGCCTTGTGGGCCCCTAGTGCAATACGGACGGGATCAATGGATCGCTGATCGACCAAAATGGCCTCGAATCACACCTCCCCTATCCGACGGTTATCCGACGGCTATCCGACGGCTATCCGACGGTTATCCGACGGTTATCCGACGGTTATCCGACGGTATCCGACGGTATCCGACGCCGGGCCCTCGTAGACCCTCAGTTTTGGGGGCCCCGGCCCAATTATCCGACGGTTATCCGACGGCTATCCGACGGCCATCCGACGGTTATCCGACGGCTATCCGACGGCCATCCGACGGTTATCCGACGGCTATCCGACGGCCATCCGACGGTTATCCGACGGTTATCCGATGGTAATCCGAAGCTTGTTTGCAGCCCAAAGGCCCCCGCCAAAAAACCAGCCCGAAACCTCCTACGACCGCGAGGGCCCGCGAGGGCCCAAGGGCCCGAAACATGAGTTGGGAGCGTCTGGGAGTAGAGTTTCTATTTTGTTTTTTGTGTGTGGCTGCCATGCTTTTTGTGCAGTTGGATTTTTGTCTAGGCCTGTCACTGGCCTGCTTGGTCGGGCTGCTGATTCTCTTGAAGTGGGATGTTTGTAGTAGGGCTGTGTGGATGTCGCTTTCTTGGCGCAGTTGCTTTTCTTCAGGGCCTGTCGCTGGCCTGCTTGGTCCGGCTGTGGCCTGCATGGCCCGCCTGATGACCCGCATGTCCTGCCCACCGCCCACCGCCCACCGCCCACCGCCCACCGCCCTGCGTGAGGCAACAGCTCTTCGCAAGCAAGATTGCCAACAACATCTGCAGAAAACAGGCCGGCAAAGACAACAAACAAATTAGAAACCAGAAAAAAAAACTTTGCGAAAAGCAGCAGCCCAACCAAGCAGGCCAGCGACAGACCCTGAACAAAAAAACGGCAGCCGCGGACAACAAGCAATTCAACTCTTACTTAAAAAATCAAAAAAATCCAACTTTACGAAAAACAGCAGACCAGGCAGGCCAGTGACAGGCCCTGAACAAAATCCAACTGCGCAATAACAAAAAATGGCAGCCACACACAACAAACAAAGCAGCAGCTTTACTAAAAAAAACAAGACCGCGAAAAGCAGCAGCCCGACCAAGCAGGCCAGCGACAGGCCCTGAAACAAAAACAACTGCACCAAAAAAGCGGCATCCACACACAAAAAGCAAATTAGAAGCCCTACTACAAAAATCCCACTTCACGAAAATTAGCAGCCTGACTAAGCAGGCCAGTGACAGCATGCACAAAAAGCATGGCAGCCACGCACAACAAGCAAATTGGAAGCTCTACTAAATAAATCCAACTTCACGAAAAGCAGCAGCCCAAGCAAGCAGGCCAGTGACAGGCCCTGAGCAAAAATCCAACTGCACAAAACACATGGCAGCCACACACAACAAGCAAATTAGAAGCTTTACTAAACAAATCCAACTTCACGAAAAGCGATGAAAAGCAGCAGCCCGACCAAGCAAGCCAGTGACAGGCCCCTATAAAAACAACAACTACACAAAAAAGAACGCGGCAGCCACACGCAACAAGCAAACTAGAAGCTCTCGGGAAAAATCCCACTTCACAAAAAGCAGCAGGCCGACCAAGCAGGCCAGTGACAGGCCCTGAACAAAATCCAACTGCACCAAAAAAGTGGCATTCAAACACAACAAGCAAATTCGAAGCCCTACAACAAATCCCACTTTGCTAAAATCACCAGCCCGACCGAGCAGGCCAGTGCCAGGCCCTGAAACAAATCCAACTTCACCAAAAAACGGGAGCCACAGACAGCAAGCAAAAAACAACAATCTCGAAGCAGCAGGCCGACCAAGCAGGCCAGTGACAGGCCCTGAAGAAAAACCCAACTGAGAAACAAAGCGGCAGCCACAAAGAAACCCAATGGAAACAAAACACTTCACGAAAAGCAGCAGGCAGACCAAGCAAGCCAGTGACAGGCCTTGAAAAGAACCAACTGCACAACAACAACAAAAAAAACGCCAGCCACACAGAACAAGCAAACTAGAAGCCCTTCGGAAAAATATTGCTTCACGAAAAGTAGCAGCCGGACCAAGCAGGCCAGCGACAGGCCCTGAAGAAAAGCAACTGCGCCAAGAAAGCGACATCCACACAGCCCTACTACAAACATCCCACTTCAAGAGAATCAGCAGCCCGACCAAGCAGGCCAGTGACAGGCCTAGAAAAAATCCAACTGCACAAAAAGCATGGCAGCCACACACAGCAAACAAAATAGAAACTCTACTCCCAGACGCTCCCAACTCATGTTTCGGGCCCTTGGGCCCTCGCGGGCCCTCGCGGTCGTAGGAGGTTTCGGGCTGTTTTTTTGTTGGGGGCCTTTGGGCTGCAAACAAGCTTCGGATTACCATCGGATATCCGTCGGATAACCGTCGGATGGCCGTCGGATAGCCGTCGGATAACCGTCGGATAATTGGGCCGGGGCCCCCAAAGCTGAGTGTCTACGAGGGCCCGGCGTCGGATAACCGTCGGATAGTAATGCTAGGGGAGGTGTGATTCGAGGCCATTTTGGTTCCATCCATCCCGTCCGGATTGCACTGGGGGCCCACGAGGGCCCCGTATCCGACAAACAGGCCGGTCCCTCCCTAGGAGGGCCCCGGACCCTCCCTAGGAGGGCCCAGGAGCCTCTGGGATATATATATATATATATACATATATATAATATGACATGTACGTACATATATGCCTATACACTATACATATACATAAACCATCTCCGCCCAGTGCGTTCCCTGCCCGGCCGGCTCCGTCTCCCTGCGTGCCTCGAGCGCGGAAAACGCAGTCCAAGGGAGCCCAGCATCCAGCCAGCCGCCGAAGGCGGTCGCCGAAAAAGGCCATGGCAGAGATTTCAATGGGAACATGATCCAAGCCTTCAACGTCCATCAAACGATGCTTACCCCTTAAAACTCCAAGCCCTGGGGAAGTTAATCTTTTACAGACATATAGCCCATGTTACCCCCAAAAAGTTGAAAAGTTGTGTTTTCAAGAGGTAAGGATGTATGACTTTAGGCTCCCGGCCGCTGGGAGCCTATCAAACCAATGGGAACACCCCAATCGCACCGGTGCACAGGAGCGACATGCATTGCACCGCAAATAAAGAGAGAGCGAGAGAGAGGGCGAGAGATAAAGCTGAAGATCAAGGTTAAGAATAAGAAAGAATGCAAGAATGAAAGAAAAAGACATGATCCAAGTGAAGCAGGCGGGCCTCAGGCCGTTCCCTCTCCTGGCCAAAAAAACGTCTTGCACAGAAGCCCCCGAAGCCCTCAAAAGCTCTCGAAGCGCAGGCCACCATAAAGGCCAACTGCTGGCTAAGCCACAGCTCTGAGGCCATGAACTCCAAACATCCTCAAGCCCATCCACCCCCTCTCCTTGCCCTTTGGCCGCGAGTCGGCGCCTCGGACACCGTCGTTTGGTCACGCGTTTGCAGTCGAGCTGGGCGCCGCACGCGAGGAAGGCCGCTTTGGCATCTCGCGAGGGGCCTCAGTCTCGCAAGCCTTGCCATAGGTTGCCAAGCCCCCTGACTCAGATTCGCGGTCGCGAGCGTCGAGTTATTCCCGAAAGAACCATCCGACAAATCGCAAATGATACAAAGGTGATGTGTCAAGCTTGCTTCGGATCAAGCCAGCTTGGAAAAGATTGAGGCTGACGGCAGGGGCGGCCACGTCCGGGCGCCTGCACACCAGATACATGGGTGTGGCTCAAAACTAAACAGGGGGGGGGGGGGGGGCAAACCGCAGGTTTTGGTCCATGTTTCCACTTACCACAACAACCCATTTTGGAATTCCGGGTTTTTTGAATTCGCCACAGCCACATGAGCATTCAGATCAGAGCGCAGCCAGCCCCTTGCCTGTCATTGCAATCTGCAATGACGCTGTCCAGGAACGCTTCCTGATCCTGGAGGGACTGGTCGGACATCTGACCCAATCCAGATCGGGGAGGATGGGCGAATCCGGGAATGAGTCATTGGGCTGAAAGACCAAAGCGCACGCTCCACTCACGCTCCGCCTGCAACACGCCATTGCCGGGCATCACTACCCTGATAATTTTGAGGAGTTGACTATGCTGATTGCAACTCGACGAGGAACAAAGCCTCTGCATGTCTTGTAAGCCCATCTGCTGCATGGACTGCTGGTTCTGCTGTATGGACTCGGCTTGAGCCTTGCCCGATGGCCCCTTGACTTGCCCCTGAGCTGCCCCAATGGAGCCCCACGCTTGCAACCGCCGCACGAGCAGCTGCCATACGAGCGACATCTCCCTCTGGTCACTTCAAGGTGGAGTTCTGACGGCCCGGTGGGCGTTTGGAGACCGGAAACTGCAACCTCGAAAGTGGTTCACTGGATTATTTTGATTGATGGCTGCACTGAGGAACCAAGTAACAGGAAGGCAAAGGTCCAAGATCATGCTTGCACCCTCGGCAAGTGATACAATGCATGTCCCAAAACAAAACGGGCATGCGGCCATCGAGGCCAGTGCAGACTGGAAGTTTGACCTTTGCCGCTTGCAAATTCCGGACGTTCGGTCTCGTGCTGGCCATTGGAGACAGTGCCCGCTGGAAGCCAGCGCACGCCTTGCGTCCCGCGCCTGCACATCTGCAAACACACCATGTACTCGCCGGGAACCTGATACGGGAGGGAGCGAATTCGGCACATGCAGCAACAAAAAAACAAACGCACGACATTCAAACTGAAGCACACACGGGAATACTGCAGCTTTTTCAATTAAAAAAAAAAAAACAGAGCAACGGGTGTTTGTCTTGCAGTACCTCCAGACCCCAACTAGTGCAGTCCGCTTGAGTTCACTCGGAAACAGCCGGCAACCTGGGAACTGACGAGTTGCCTGGCGCCTCTTCGCCTCAGAGCACAAAAAAAACGAAGCGTCCAAACATGGAAACCTGCGACGACTGAGGCGGGAGCGTGCGAGTTGGGCGACATCGCCGTGCATCACTACCCAAAACTCAAGTCTTGACCGCAATATATCTTCGTTAGAATGTGGAACATCAAATCTGCCCGTTGCAAGATCGTCAGCATCAAAGTGGTTGACATGCATGCATTGAGCCTAAGCTTGGCAGAAAACGATTCAAAACTTTGATGCCAAATGAAGTGAAGGAACGAGGCTTGCAACCGCACTCTCCCTTCTCATGGCCCGCAATGCAAAAGTCACAACAAGTGATTCCACACGCTTGGAAATAATGTTCGCTCGGGTTCTAAAGGGCAAGTCAGCTGGCACCTCACGAGCCAGTGAGGGCAGTGTCTTCATCCAATTTTGTCAAGTTATCTTGCGTCTCAAGGGGAAGGAATCCATAATATGTTCTGAGTTAGGAAGCTTAAGCCAAAAAAATGCATGTCGCTGCTTACAACTGTAGACGGTAAAGTGATGTTGTCTTTTCTCTTGGTTGGTTTGGGGCCACTAGACCAATGTGTGAACACAGTGCAAAAAGGCCCAGCCCGCAGGCAGGAAACGGGCTACTGTCCGCGAGTCCGAAGCCGGAGCTGGTCAACTCCACTTGCGCAATCAAAGTGGCAACTTTTGTGCTTTGCAGCCAAACACTTGAGTTCCGCAGGTGATGCCAGCATACAACATCCTCAACAGCCATTTGCCAGCCAAACAACAAACGTTAGAATCTTGATCACTGCTTCAATCCGAAAGGGAACATGCAGCAAAAGATAAAAGAGTACGACCGACAAACCTGCGCGCATGCTCTTTTTTTTTATAAGGCGCTGCTCGGAAGTTAAGGCTCGGGGGTGCAGGGGGAAAGACAGCGCGTGTCCTTTCCCCGTGTCTGCACCCCTCTGCGGAGCCTTCTCAAATGCCCCCGTGGTCAACAATGCGTGTTCGACCAGGCGCCAGAAGGCATTGGTGGTGGCAGGATGCAATGCGCGCATCCGGCTGGTGTGCAATGCGGCACACGGTGCCAGGTTGAGACCTGTCGAAACAGTCACTGCATGCCGGGGCATGCTGTGCTCAGTGCGTCCGGGGTGCAGCTGCGGCTGGGCCCTGGAGGATGCAATGCGTGCATCCGGTTAGTGTGCAACGCGGCACACGGTGCAAGGTGGAAACTTGCGGCCACTGCATGCAGGGGCATGGTGTGCACAGTATTTCTGGGGCGCCAGCTGCGGCTGGGCCCTGGAGGATCCACCTGAGTGGTGAAAGGGTGGGAGGGTGGGCGCAAAAAAGGGAGGGGTAAACCCTCACGCATGACCCTTAGGTGGCTTGAAGCAGAAAACGGCAACACGTCCAAAGATTCGATCAAGATTAAAACATAAGGGAAAAGGAAAACCCTAAACAAACCAAACTGAGAGCCTCTCTTCTCCAAACGCATTTTAATGCAGCGGAGCTTCTTACACTGGTCCGACCAGGAAACGACCTCGTCCGACGAGATTTCTGAAAGTTAAAATGCTGACTAAACAACCCCTCAATGTGCTTGCAATTTGCCCCTTCGTTGCGTTTTCTGCAAATCCCAAATCATAGGGTAACGGTAACGGGATTGAAAAAACAAAAAAAAACTAGATCACGCCTAGCCCGAAAGCATCACAGCCCCGTGACCATTCTGCGCAAGTTGCTCTGGACAAAGTGCTTTGCGCAAACTGGTCTGCGCAAGTTGCTCTGCGTAAGTTGCTCTGCGCAAGTTGCTCTGCTCCCTGCACTCCCTCCGTAGAGGGGATTCCCCAAACGGGTTTCGATGCAACTGCAGGGCTTCTGACACTCGTCCGTCCAACAAACGACCTCGTCCTGCGAAGGATCCGAGAGCTAAAGTGCTGCAGAGAGCCCCGTGCCTGCACTAAATCGACCCCTCGATTTGCTTGCAAATTGCCCCGTAGCTGCGTTTCTGCGAGGCGAGCTAAACACCAGGGAAAAAAAAAGGAACCCCGACCGATCGACGGCCAAACGACGTCCGAACGGCCGAACGACGGCCGAACGGCCGAACGACGACGGCCGATCGACGACCGAACGACCGAACGACCGAACGGCCGAACGACCGAACGACGATGACCGAACGACGACCGACCGACGACCAAGGGTTCCAAAAAAAAGGTTTCCTTTGAGGGGGCTCGCCTTGCAGAAACAAAGGCAGCTACGGGGCAAATTGCCAAACCGCAAATCGAGGGGTCGATATAGTGCAGGCACGGGGCTCTCTGCAGCACTTTAGCTCTCGGACCCTTCGCAGGACGAGGTCGTTTCCTGGACGGAATCCCCTCTAAAGACAAAGGCGCGCTGTTCTCGGTTTGCGCTCTCGCGCGGCGCAGTCTGCAGCTGTCGCTGCAGTCCACTGCTGCTGCTGCCGCACTCCGGGCTGCGTCAATATTGATCCAGTGTCGACCTTTCGTCGATTCGAGATGATTCAATATTGACTCATCTGCTCGCCCACCGAGGTCGGTACGCGTGCCATCTGCGTGCAAAAAACATGCAAAAAGGCCATCCCCGGGCCATGCCCGGGCCATCCCCGGGCCCGAGCCCAGCCCGCAGAGCCGCGCCGCTCGAGGTCGGAATTCCGACTTCGCTTCCCACCGATCTCGCACCCGAGGTCGGAATTCCGACTTCGCTCTCCACCCAAGGTCGGAATTCCGATTTCGCTCCAAGACCCCGACCTCGCCCCAAGCCATCGCCGGGCCACTTTTTCGGCAAATGTCATCACTTGTCACCGCATGTCATCGTGTCATCGGCTTCCGCGTATTTCTTTGTTTCTGCGACGCGTCGTCGTTTCAGCGTCATAAGTCATCGATTCCGCGATGTCTGTGACAGATGTCATCGTTTCTGTGACAGATGTCATCGTTTCTGCGACAGTCAGCCAGCAGACGCAGCCTGGAATCAAGCCCCGGTCCAGGGCGCTGCTGAGAGAGGCGTGCTACCGACTGAGCTACGGCGTGTTTCC